ATATGTTCTTGGAAGTGGACTTTCTGAATCAAAGGGTAAAAGTTATGTAGTGTTGTGGTTTTATTTTATTTTTTAAGATTTTATCTATTTATTCATGAGAGACAGAGAGAGAGAGAGAGAGAGAGAGAGAGAGAGGCAGAGACACAGGCAGAGGGAGAAGCAGGCTCCATGCAGGGAGCCTGATGTGGGACTTGATCCCGGGTCTCTAGGATCACGGCCCGGGCCGAAGGTGGCACCAAACCCCTGAGCCACCCAGGTATCCCCAGTGTTGTGGTTTTAGAGATATGTCCATATGCTCTTTGACATCCTCCCCTTAAGAGGTGGAGCTCAATTCCCATACCATTGTTGGTGGGCAGGCCTTAGTCAATCACTTTTAGCAAACAGAATACAGAAGTAATGAGCTATCACTTCCAATTTAAGTTATAAAAAGACGGTAGCTTCTGTTTTGTGTGCCTTTGCTGGCTCTCTCTCTCTCTCTCCCTTGACTCACTTGGTCTTGGTAGAGCCAGCTGTCACATTGAGGCAGACATGAGGAGAGGGAAGTCCACTACCATGTCAGGATAATCAAGTAGCCTATAGAAAGGCCCACATGGTAAGAAACTGAACTTGGAAATTGATATTCTGAGACTTATCAGCCATTTGACTGAATTTGAAAGCATGTCCTCCTCCACTTGAGCTTTGAAATAACTGCAGCCCTGACCAACAGCTTGACTACAACCCCATGAGACTAAGCCTGAACCATCCAGCTAAGACATTCCCAAACTGATTCACAGAAACGTGACAATAAACATTTATAGTTTCAAACTGCTAAGTTTCAGATAATTACATAGCAATAGATAATTAATACATGCATTTTTGCTAGCTATTGTTAAACCACCCATTTAGGGGCTGTATCATTTTTCTGTGCTACCAGTAATACACAAAAATTCCTGATTCCCATGGCCTTACAAATACCATATGTTTCCAAAATTAGAATATTTTTTAACAAGTTGATAAAAATAGTATCTTAGAGCAGCTTTAATTTTTATTTCATTATGAAGGAGGTCTCCTCCAGCTTCTTGTTTAATGAGACACTACATTAGGGACAGTTTCTCCTTACTCTTTGGATCAAGAGCTGTGGTTTTTACAATTCTTACAAGTGTCTCCATGGTTTCCCCTTTTCCCATATCTATAACTTCTACTGGCATTACTCCTGGAGGATTCTGAATTAATCATTACTGTTCCTTTAGTGCCTAACACAGTGGCTACATTGTCTTAAGCCCAAGGAATGCAATAAATATTAATGAACCTGGGAGTTTAAATTGAAGTGAATGGGGGCACCCCGAGTAGCTCAGCGGTTTAGCGCTGCCTTCAGCCCAGGGCCTGATCCTGGGGACCCGGATCGAGTTCCACGTTGCACTCCCTGCATGGAGCCTGCTTCTCCCTCTGCCTGTGTCTCTGCCTCTCTCTCTCTCTCTCTCTTTGTGTGTGTGTCTCTCATGAATAAATAAAGTCTTAAAAATTGAAAAAAATAAATAAATTGAAGTGAATGATCCAATTGCACCCTTCATACCCTCTTCCTTGTCTTGACCAAAAATTAGGCTTCTCTCTTCCCACAGGCCCCTAAGTTTTGGCTTGTCCCTAAGTTTAAACACAGACTAAAGCAATATGTATATGCAGAACATCCTCCCCTAACAGCTTTTTCTCAGAATCTGAGGACCCCAGAAACATTTTTAAATGCCCTGCTTTGGCCACATGCAGACTCCCACCTCTTTGAAGTTCCTACTAACCCTTCTCAACCCTATGTGTGTGTGTGGTTTTTTTTAAAGGCCGGAGTGGGGAGCAGGGTCCCTTTGATTTTTGAGATGCCTTCAGATTTCTGAGAATGAAGTGTTCTCCCTATTGTAATCATCTTTCTGAATAAAACCTCTCTTCATCTAAGTCCAGGTTTGTTTTTACTTGACAAGAGAAATGGAAACGCTCGATGTAAAACCGCTGCTTAATTACATGAGCCAAAAACCATGACTTCTTTGAAAACCATGATTCAAAATAGGATCTATTTAAGCGCATGAAACATGTTAACGTGAATTTATATATAATGCATATATATAATTATAGATATATACTGACATATATATATGCCTGACATAAGACCTAAGGGTTACGGTAAGTACTTCGCTGGTTTATTATTTTTTCAACTCATGTTTTCCTGAAATCTAACCGCGTCGCTGGCTTCCTCTCTATTGTTTTTGGTTTCTTGTTTCTCAGTCTCCCTCTGAGCCCCTCCGCTGTGCCTATGCGCCGGCTCGTCTGCCCTTCAGGCTCCCATCGCTGTCTACACTGGCCTCTCCTTTGCCGCATTATCGAGGCCCCTGCTTCCTCCGGGGTCTCCACGGCATGGCTCTGTGCCTCAGTCTCCCTCCTGTCTCTCAGTTTTCCTTTCTTCTTCAGTCGGCCCCTGCAGCTTAACTCCTGCAAGCATCTTCCCCTAGAGAATTCCTCATGCTAGTTTTTAGTTTGAAGCTCACTTCTAGGGATCCCTGGGTGGTGCAGCGGTTTGGCGCCTGCCTTTGGCCCAGGGCGCGATCCTGGAGACCCGGGATCGAATCCCACGTCGGGCTCCCGGTGCATGGAGCCTGCTTCTCCCTCTGCCTGTGTCTCTGCCTCTCTCTCTCTCTCTCTCACTGTGTGCCTATCATAAATAAATAAAAATTTTAAAAAAATGAAGCTCACTTCTACAGGGCATCCCCTGCCTCGGCACGCCCCGCCCCCGTGACCCCTTCCACCACTTTGGCCCCTTTCCCACAGCGGCATCTCCGCGAAGGGGACGGTACTATTCCACTTTTCACCCCTCCCAGCAAGTAGGACTTCCAGGTGTAGGGCTGTGCCATTTACGAACATGTTTAAGTAGTGTCGTCAAGGACAGTATTTTAACATTCCAAACTCTTTCCCTTTCGCCAAATGCAGTCTCTTAATAGAGGTCGTTGTCACTCACTCTTCTTCCCCAATCCTCCTATAAAATAGCTTCCGGCAAAAGGTCGCACCTGATTGGCTCGCGTATTCCTCCTTTCCATCATCTCGGGCCCCCGCGGTGGCCCTGCTAGAAACAACCCGAATTCCTCCGCGTGTACGGAACTGACCAGACTCTCAAGATGGCGCCTCACACGGCGAAACTCGGGGCCTGGGGGCCGCCATCTTGTCTCCTGAACAAAGCCGCCGAGGATGCGGAGTGGGCAAAGCCGCCCAGTACCGCACGGCGCAGGCTCGGGAGCCCCGCGCTGTTCTCTTCCAGACCGGAAGCGGGAGAGTTCGCCAGTATGGCTGTGACAGCCGTCCGGGGGAAAGCGGTGATGGGCGTTTCGGGGACCTGATAACGGAGCCGCAGGTCAGAAGGCGGGGACGTGCCGCGAGTCCGTGGGATTGGTAACAGGAGGGGAGGGGGTCTGTGGGCGTCATTGCTTGCAGGCGTGTGAAGTCACGGGTCGGGAGGTATGTGGGGTTAGGGTTGGGTTTATTTGGGAGTCAGGGTTGGAGTGAGGTATGGGATTAGTAATTGGGGAATGATGTGTCAGTGATGGGGTTGTCTGTGGGATCAGAAATGGCGTGTAGGGGAACTAGCTGGGGCCAGTGATTTAGGGGACTCTGGAGAATCAGTGATTGGGGACTAGATGACCGGGACATCCATGTGATGCTCAGTGATGTGACGGTCATGGGGCAATTCTGTTGAATGTGTCATTGGCAGGCCTGAGGATTCAGGAATTTGGAGAGAGCAATAATGGGATGAGGGAGTCATGATGATCAGCCTCAGTTTACTGGGAAAGACTTTTACATACATTAAAATTTCCACAGGTTTATGCAACTATCGAATTCTTAAAGGTCAGACCCCTTCTCAGTCCACCATTGCACCCTTAGCATGCCCTCCCTCCCCCCGCAACAATGATGGACCAAACAAATAAAAAAGGATGGATTATTACCAAAAGTATGATTTTCAGCCTTTTTCTAAGCTTATTGCAATCATTTTATATTTTATTAAGGAAACACTGAACACCTGCTGGGTACTCAGACATAAGCATCACTATTTTGATTGTTTCCTTTCAGATCAGTTTTGACAACGCCTGGAATACTCCACATAAAACAGTCTCCCTGTCATGGGAGCTTTCAGTTCCTCTGAATCACTTCAGTCTTGTCTGTATGATTCCTCCTAGGACTGAGAAAAATTGACCAGGTATATACCTTTCTTCATTGTATCATATTCTCTTGTATGAGTGGTTCCAAGCTATCACCATTTTTATATGCAGATGACTACACTTTTGAAAATCTGCCATAATAGTTGTTTTTTTTTTAAGATTTTATTTATTCATGGGAGACACAGAGAGAGAGAGAGAGAGAGAGGCAGAGACACAGGCAGAGGCAGAAGCAGGCTCCATGCAGGTAGCCTGATGTGAGACTTGATCCCCGGACTCCAGGATCATGCCCCAATCCGAAGGCAGGCACTCAACTGCTGAGCCACCCAGCAATAATAGTTTACACAGAAAATATCTTAAATTTTAAGATTTTGGTCCATGAATATTGGTTGGCAGGGGAATTTGCTGAGTGAAGGGAAATATAAAAGACCTCTTGGGAGATTATTGGAATCAACTGCAGGTTCTTTCTGGGGGAATAAGGGAATACATTTCTCAGTTCTGGTCATAGGCATTCTTATTGCCAGGGAAGTCCATCTGCCATTAATGATTATATAGGTCTATTAATGTTTATTGCCTTGTGAAAATTTTCTATGAATAGAATTACTGGTTCATAGGGGAACTATAAGCTGTTAGTAAGTCAATATGAAACATATCTTCTCATCTATACAATTAAATGACCTTGACCAAGTTCTGTATCATTATAGTATAGTCACAAGAGGACTTCCTTCACCTAATGCTTCCTGACCCTTCTGCAAGGACCAAACAGCCTTATCCCATTGGTCGTCATATTATCCACCTGACTTCTAGTGGTGAATGTTTCTGAAGTGATGAATATGGAAGCTGCAGACAGAGTCTGGTCTATGAAAATGTCCTTCTGATCACCAGTTTTGCTTTTTCAGACATCTGCCCTTTTAGAAGAGAGCAGAAAATCATGAAGTCCCAGGTGAGTTGCTTGTATTTTTAATTTTTAAAATTTCCTCCTTTATTTTCTGTTCAATCAAATGGGAAAGAACAGATAGCTAAAATTTGGATTAGGAAAAAGGTAGCCAAACTAAAAATCAAGACCTAGAAAGAGTTTCTAGGTAACATGTGGATAACCTGGCCTGAAAACTTTTTAAAAATGGACATAGTAATTTCTTTGATCTTCTTGTAGACTTCATGAGTTACATGATTTGCAGTCGTCTAAAGAGAAAACATAAATTTCTCATGGGAAGAAAATATTTTTTGCCATGTGAGACTAAAATTTGCATTTTGGGTCTTTCAAAAGACCAAAATGTAATGGAGTATATAGTGTTTTCATCAGCAGTCCTGTGGAAAAAGCAATAGTAGATTGCATATAGCTATGTCATAGAATGATCTCTTTTAGTGGGAAGGTATCATAATGTCATAGCCAAATGGTCAAGGTCATAATGTCATAGCCTTGAACTTGATCCTTCAGAGCTGGGCTTACTAGACTACTACCTGTTGGTCAAATCCAGTTCTCTATTTTTATGAATAGTTTTACTGGCAGCACAGCCATACTGTTTGTTCATGTATTATCTATGGCTGTTTTCCTGCAACAATGGCAGGGTTGGGTAAGTACAACAGAGACCAAATGGCCTGCAATGTTTAATATACAAACTTTATGGAAAATGTTTGTTAGATTTCTGGTTTAGAGAACCTAATTGATTACAGAGGCTTCCTATTGTCCAGTTCTATCTACTGGTAAAATCCAGATAACACAGGATGGGTACATTTTAAATCTTCTTCCAAAATAATTATAATTATCTGGCAAAGCTTGGTAGAGCATGGGCCCCTGATGCTCCTTACCCTTTGCTGTGGTTTCTGATTATGTAGGATCACTGTCCAACTCAAGGCCAGTTCCTTCTCTGCACTTCCATTTTTAGCAGTCTGTGGTACTTTTTCTCCCTGCCAACATTGGCTGTATACACAGTATATAACTTTAAACTATATAAATAATAAAAATTTTAAAACTGAGAGACCTTTTAACTTAAGCTCTCCTCCTCCTGAGATTATCAGTATTTACCATTTGTTTGTAATCCTCCAAACCTTTTCTTTTTTTTCCAAACCTTTTCAATATGAATATAACTGTGCTTAAGTGTGTACATGTGAAAATACAAATGTATAAGAGTGTCTCTCTTTTTTAAAAATTTTATTTATTCATGAGAGAGACAGAGACAGAGGCAGAGACACAAGCAGAGGGAGAAGCAGGCTCCATGCAGGGAACCCGACGTGGGACTCGATCCCAGGTCTCCAGGATCAGGCCCTGGGCTGAAAGCGGCACTAAACTGCTGAGCCACCTGGGCTGCCCAACAGTGTCTCTCTATTGTGTTTTTTTTTTTTTTTTTGAAAAATAATGTTATAGTAAACATTCTGTGCTGCAACTTTTAAAATTTTATTGTCCCATGTTAAGATTTTTGAATGTCTTTTCCATGCCAGTACTTAGATTTCTTTATTATCTTAGCAGATGCACTGGGATTGTTTTCTTTTCCTTTCTTTTTTTAAAAATATTTTATTTAAATTGGGACTGTTTTTCTTAAATTTAAAATGGAGATTAGAATCCTCACAGGGTTGTTGTGAGAATTAAGTGAATAAAAAACCATGCCTGGAACTGTATCTGGGGATAGTTTGTTCTGTATTGTTAGTTGTTATTGTTAGTATTACTATTATATCATCATCACTGTTACTGTCCAATCTAGAATTCTTGTGTATATTTTACAGTACAGCTTATTAAGTGAGTTCTATAGAGAAAAGATGGGGTTGTTTTCTTCTGGATATCAGTAGCTGTAGAGTTGTGGCCACCAGCCACATGTGGTTAATTAAACATTTGAAATTGGCTAGTGTGAATTGAAATGTGCCATATATGTAAAATACATACTGAGTTTAGAAGATATAGTTCCAAAAAGCTCACTAATAATTTTTAAGGATTGGTTACACTTTGAAAAAATATTTGGATGTTTTGGGATACATATATATATTTGAAATAATTTTTTGAATGTGGCTACTGGAAAGTTTAAAATTACTTATCTGGTCAGTCTTAAATTTCTGTTAGAGCAGCTCTAGAGAAGGAAAATGGACTTTTTATTAGCTTAATAAATCTAACTACCAGGACTAATTAACTGATTATATGCCTCTTCCTTTAGGAAGAGGGATTTATATCTTTTGCATATTGTCCAGGAGTGAAGTCATTTGTACACATATCTGTTCTCCTCCACCTCTTCCATTCTCCCAGTCACCCAAGTCATAAGAGTGTTTGTAGAGGATAAAAGTAAAATTTCCCACTGCTTATGTACTATACTTTTCTCAAAATTAACAAAATTTATACGTATGTAGTATATCGAAGCATTTGAGTATAATTAATAAAGCAAAATCAGAATGTTAGAATTACACCTATTAAACTTCCTGTCAGAATGGATTTTCTCTACATTCTACCTTTATTTTCTTTCTCATGTCACTGTTATTCAGAAGAATACAACTGAGTAATACACAAAACTGTTTTTAACTAAACGTGAACTTTATAATCGTCATTCATTTGTTTTTACCAAATGTTTGTTGAGTACCTAATGTGTATCATATGCACTGGCTGGCTGTGGAGTATCTCAAGATTTAGGTATGGTTTTATTTCTGGGAGGAATGCAGAGAAAAATTAGGTAAACAGATTTGTAAACCAGCATTGACAGATAAAAGCTCTGTAATAGACATGGGAACAAGGAACTGTTAAAGCAGAAACAGGAGAACAACCAGCTTTTTAAGGAAGTAAAAAATAAGCTCAAAAGATTATTGAAGGGATCCCTGGGTGGCACAGCGGTTTGGCGCCTGCCTTTGGCCCGGGGCGCGATCCTGGAGACCCGGGATCGAGTCCCATGTCGGGCTCCCGGTGCATGGAGCCTGCTTCTCCCTCTGCCTGTGTCTCTGCCTCTCTCTCTCTCTCTCTCTCTCTCTCTCTCTCTCTGTGTGTGTGACTATCATAAATAACTTAAAAAAAAGATTATTGAACTTTGAATCATGAGGGAAGTAGGATAAGGATGGGAAGCAACAGTTACAAAAGTAGAAAGGGCAGAGTAGTTTTAGGAAGGCTGAGAATTTGAGGGAAACTAAGATTTGGGGTGTTTCATGGGGAGTTTGACTAAAGGTGTTATTAAAAGAATAAGATACAGGGGCACCTGGGTGGCTCAATGGTTGAGTGTCTGCCTTTGGCTCATGTGATAATCTCGGGGTTTTGGGATCAAGTTCTGCATCAGGCTCCCTATGGGAACCCTTCTTCTCCCTCTGCCTATGTCTCTGTCTCTCTCTGTGTGTGTCTCTCATGAATAAATAAATAAAATCTTTAAAAAAATAAAACAGTAAGATACAAAAGATCTTGTTCACAATATCCAGGAAGTAGTGTGGAGTGCAGTTGTCAAGAACTCAAGCTCTCGATTAATTCCTGCTTTTAAATCTGCGAGTTAATCATATATTCAGTGTATAACCTCTAGCAAGTAGTTACTTAACCACTGTAATCCTCATTTTTCTCATATGTAAAATGAGAAAATTAATAAGGCTGTTTAAAGGACAAACTAAATGTCTGGCAGTTTGATGGTGTGAATATGGGACTTGGCATGGGATGAGAGGCATCTTGAAATTGAGATGACTGAGATGAGGCTGATTGTGTAGGCAAGGATGGAACCAAAGGATGCTTTTAAGCAGGAAAATGTCATTTGAAACAGTGTTTATTTTTTTATCTCAAAGAAATATTTGATAATAATGAAAGATTAGGGGGAAAACCTGAAAAACATTTTAAAATAATACAGATAGGGATCCCTGGGTGGCTTAGCGGTTTAGCGCCTGCCTTCAGCCCAGGGTGTGATCCTGGAATCCCGGGATCGAGTCCCACATCAGGCTCCCTTCATGGAGCGTGCTTCTCCCTCTGCCTGTGTCTCTGCCTCTTTCTCTGTGTCTCTCATGAATAAGTAAATAAAATCTTAAAAAATAAAAATAAAATAAAATAAAATAATAAAATAAAATATACAGATAACCGAGATTCTTCTATTAGGTGATAACTATTGTGAACATGATGCTGACATAATTAAAATAGTCACTTTTTCCTCCAGAAATACCTTATACCTCTACACTTACCCAAGTCTTATTTTAATGTCACATCAATAATCTGTTTTTTTTTTTTCTTGGGTGTTTCCTGATATTTCTCGTTACATCTGTTTTCAGTACTGCTATTGTAATTGGTGTACTTCGTTATATTATTAGGTATAGCATATATATATGAGACTGTTCATTGAGGAGAAGCTATGATTATTTTCTTATAAATTGAGGGGATTAAATTATGATCTTTAAGAACTCTGACATTCTGTGTTTCTCCATATGTGTGTTTTCTCTTTTTAATGTTTTCCTTTTAAAAGGCTTTTTCTGTTCTATAATTATTACTAAAAGTTTTCCCATGTTTTGTTTTTTTACTTTAATGCTCTTGGCTATCTTTTTAGAGTTTAAATTTTTGCTCCATCCAGAAGGTATGTTTTCTATTATCTAAGACATAGGTTACAGTCTATTCATTTGCCAGGGTTACTGTAGCAAAGTACCACAAACTGAGTAGATCAAACAGCAGAAATTTATTGTCTCATAGTTCTGGAGGCTAGAAGTCAAAACTCAAGGTGTCAGCAGGTTTGATATTCTTTCTGAAGGCTATAAGGGAACAGTCTATTCCAGGCCTCTCTCCTTGGCATGTACATGACCATCTTTTCCCCTATGACTTCATATCATGTTTCTTCTAGATATGTCTGTCTCTCTGCAAATTTCTCCTTTTGATACAGACATCAGTCATATTGGATTAGGGTCCACCCTAATGACGTCAGAGAATTAATTATATCTGAAATGACTCTGTTTCTAAATAAGGTCACATTCTGAGAAACTGGTAGTTAGAACTTTAACATACAGGTTTTAAGGTGATACAATTCCACCTTTAACATAGGGATTCAACATTATTCTTCTGTTGATTATCCAGTTGTTTCAGTATTATTCTTCGAATAATCTGTCTTCCTTTCAGTTATTGAATGCTGCCCTTATCATTTATTAAATTACCATTGTATCAAATTGGCATTTTGATCTATCTCTTCTGTTCTCCTGATCTGTGACTGGCTCTTGTAAAGACAAGATTTTGTATTGTTTTTCCCAAATACTGTGATACAAAACTAGGCATAGGCATAGTTTTGTATACTGCAATAGAGATGATGAAAAAGATCACTTCAGATTGAACAGGAATATACTGTTACAGGCCTTAGTATCATTCAAGGATGTGGCTGTGGATTTTACCCAAGAAGAGTGGCAGCAACTGAACCCTGCTCAGAGAACCCTGTACAAGGATGTGATGCTGGAGAACTTCAGCCACCTGGTCTCAATGGGTAAGGATGGCTTTCCTACATAACTCAGACTTGTCCATCCAAGAGCCTTTCCTTATAAGGTGCTGTGGTTTGTAGTTACTGACATATATAATGACTTTTATGATCTTTAGACCCTCCCAAATGGAGGTCATTTTTTTTTAAATTTTTATTTATTTATGATAGAGAGAGAAAGAGGCAGAGACACAGGCAGAGGGAGAAGCAGGCTCCATGCACCGGGAGCCCAACGTGGGACTCGATCCCAGGTCTCCAGGATCGCACCCTGGGCCAAAGGCAGGTGCCAAACCGCTGCGCCATCCAGGGATCCCGTCATTTTTTTTTTTTTTTAAGGGCCACCTGGACTGCTTCATTGTAGCCCTCTTGAAACTACACCTTCACTTTTCCTTCAGTGTAGTCAATCCCAGTTCTTCTATTTCCATTTAATAGGATATCCAGTTTCCAAACCAGATGTCATCTCTAAGTTGGAACAAGGAGAAGATCCATGGATCATAAAAAGAGACATACCAAACTGGATCTATCCAGATGAAAATCAGGCAGATGGAAGACAAGGGAAGTGAAATATCAGTTTTTGTTTCTTGATTGATTGATGCCTGAAGTTTATGTTCTGTCCTTATTGAAATCTCTTATTCTTTGTTCCTGTGCTGAGAATTTAGTAGGCATTCAGCAAATAATTGTGAGCCTTTATAAAGGAGAGCTATTTCTTATTTATCTTCTTTCTCTCTGCATATATGTATATCTCTAACACCTTTTATGAAAGGCAATAGAAAGGCAAAGTCCTCCCAAGAACATAGGTTGCACTTTAGATGGTAAGACCTCCAGGTACATGGCTATATAAATTATATGTCAAATACAGCTACTGTTTTTAAAAGTTCAGAAAAAATGAGAGTTTAAAGATGTAACAATTTGAGAAGGCATTTTTCAGAGTATATAGCTATAGCTGCTTTGAGAGATATATAAAGTGTTGATGATGCTGAAGGAGGAGGGTAAAGGCCAAGAGGTGGAGAGAGAGTATGTGAACAAAACTTTGAAGTTAGAGAATTAAGGCTTTTCTGGGAGAATTTAGAGTATATGAACAAAACTTTAAAGTTAGAGTATTAAGGCTTTTCTGGGAGAATTTTGCTAGTTTTACTTGGTACATATAGAAGGCATTTATGGCAAGTAGTGGAATATAAGCTTGGGTTCTTTGTGTGAATCTGATACTGAATCCGTAGCAGGATCTTGGATTTTTCTGTTGTTTGTGTTAGTTTTTAATTAGGAAAGTAGACTGAGGAGAGTTAAAAGTATTTTGACTACAGAGGAACCTTGTTTCTGTGGATAGTGGTGGCAGGATAATAATAGTGAAATATATATATATAGCAAATGGTTTATAAGCTAAATAAATTCAAAAGCTGATAAAGGTTTCAGAAAGCAGAGGAAGTGAAAAGATTCTAAAATAATAATCCAAGATTAGAGTGATAATCACATACTTTTCTATCTTCTTCAGGTCTAATTTTTCCATGAACTTTTCTCTTTAACATCCTTTCCCATCATTCATCTGATCATACTGTATGCTATACTGCCTTATGAGATGGCCAGCCCCATCCCTATGGTCTGAGCTTATCATCTACATTGGATTAATTATTTGTTCTGTTCTTTTGCGTTCTGTTAATTGTTCTTTACAATCGTTTTATTTTATCTTTCTTTCTTTTAGACAGGAAAAGTAACCTTGACAACCCCAAATCATGTATTTTGGGGTCTGTTTCCTTCCGTAATAATATCCTGAAAGGAGTCACAAAAGATAGTTCATTGTACTCCATCTTAAAAGTCTGTCAAGATGATGGTCAGCTGCAGAGATGTCAGGAGAATCAAGACAAGCTTCTCAGGCAAGTAACAGTCATCAGCAACAAAACAGTGACTATGGAGTCAGGCCATAAATATAATGCATTGGGAAAAATATTTCATGAATGCATAGATCAAGATACTTTAAAGCAAAAATCCCATAACTATGATATATTTAAAAAGAACTTGAAATATAATATTGACCTACGTATTTGTAATAAGAGCAGTTCAAGAAAAAACCTTGATGAGAGTTTTGGATGTGGAAAATCATCTAGCCATGGTGTTTCCTATTCTCATCTTGAGAAAATTCACAATGGAGTAATGCCCAATAATAATAATCAGTGTGGAAACATTTTTAGTAGTAAACAATCCCTTATTCAATATCAGAATATTGAAACTAAGGAGAAAACCTGTGTATGTATTACATGTGGAAAAGCCTTTGCTAAGAAGTCACAGCTCATTGTACATCAACGAATTCATACTGGAAAGAAACCATATGATTGTGGTGCATGTGGGAAAGCCTTCAGTGAGAAGTTTCATCTCATTGTACATCAGAGAACTCATACTGGGGAGAAACCTTATGAATGTTCTGAATGTGGAAAAGCTTTCTCTCAGAAATCATCCCTCATTATACATCAGAGAGTTCACACTGGGGAAAAACCATATGAATGTAGTGACTGTGGGAAAGCCTTCTCCCAGAAATCACCCCTCATTATACATCAGAGAATTCACACTGGAGAGAAACCTTATGAATGTAGAGAGTGTGGGAAGGCCTTCTCCCAGAAGTCACAGCTGATTATACATCATAGAGCTCATACTGGAGAGAAGCCATATGAATGTACTGAATGTGGGAAAGCCTTCTGTGAGAAGTCCCACCTCATTATACATAAAAGAATTCACACTGGGGAGAAACCTTACAAATGTGCTCAGTGTGAGGAAGCCTTCAGCAGGAAAACAGAACTCATTACACATCAGTTAATTCATACGGGGGAGAAACCTTATGAATGTACTGAATGTGGGAAGACCTTCTCCCGGAAGTCACAGCTCATCATACATCAGAGAACGCATACTGGAGAGAAACCTTATAAATGCAGTGAATGTGGAAAGGCCTTCTGTCAGAAATCACACCTCATTGGACATCAGAGAATTCACACAGGAGAAAAACCTTATATATGCAGTGAATGTGGAAAAGCCTTCTCTCAGAAGTCCCACCTCCCAGGGCATCAGCGCATTCATACAGGAGAGAAACCATATGTATGTGCTGAATGTGGAAAGGCCTTTTCCCAGAAGTCAGATCTTGTTTTGCATCAGAGAATTCATACTGGGGAAAGACCCTATCGGTGTGCTGTATGTGGGAAAGCATTCATTCAGAAGTCACAGCTCACTGTACACCAGAGGATTCATAACAGTGGTAAAATCATAATGAACTGAACACAATAAAGCCTTCTCAGTATTAGCTCAAGCCTTAATGAATACTAGGAACCTGACTAATTTGATATTTATGGGACATCTTTATAGATAAAATTATACAAGAGAATTCATGTCTATAGTGTGGTGATACCTAGCTCAGCAAAGATGATGGAAAGTAATCGTAAATGAAGAACATTTTCAACATGGTGTGTAAAGCTTTTTATGGTCAGTGGAACAAATTATGTATATAGAATATTGTCAAGTTATATATTCTTTATTATACCATATAACAATAACCAGATATTGTGAAATTGCTAATATTAGCTTGGCATAATTTTGGCCATACAGTAATTCCCAATAAAGGACATGAAGAAAGCTTGAGTAAAAAAAAAAAAAAAAATTAAGAAACTGCATTATAAGGAAGGGGCTTAGCATGACCCCTAAAGATACATGTAAAATTCTTGTACAAAGATGGAAAGATAGGTGGATCAGATTCAATACAGGTGATGTTTATGCATTTTCCCATCTCAAGAATATAAGTTGCATATAAGTTGACCTGTCTCTCTGGAAGGATCCTGGACCTTGAAATTGGTGCACCTTGACCAGTTCTCCCGTTTATTCTTCCTCACTAAGAGTTTGGTATTGTGGAAATGCTTTGGTACTGAGGCAGATGGTCTTGTCTTTTAATCCTGGCTCAGCTACTCACAGACTGTGTGACTTCAAGCAAGCCTACTTCACCCATTTGAATATTTTATCATTAAAAACATACAATGTAGAGCATGTTTTCAGTTATTATTCATTCTTTTTATCTTTCCTCTCTATCCTCCTGCAACTGAATGCTAAGACTAATATGCAAAAAGCTACATCTAAATTTGCTTTGCAGTCCAGATGCTCTGCCTTTGATATCCCATTCCCATGACAGTTCGCTTTACTGTCTTTGACCCTGGTGGCCTTGATTCTTGGTGTGTTAAAGTGACATTTTATTATGGTTTTATTATTTTTTACGTACATTTATATAAACCATGGTGATTACACATAAAGACCCTGACTAATGTCTCTTCAGGACTTCCACTGTGCAACCCCAACTGTTTTCCCTGGGAACAAATGACACTTGTAGAGCAAAACTCTTGGGATGAGAAATTATGCCTGCCACAGATTTGAGAACTTGGTATCTCTAAAATATCTCCTGGTCTCTTTTCTGTGGTTCTGCCTGTTCCTCCATGAACAGCTTTAGATGAGGACCCTTGCTGGAGTTGCCTACAGAAGAGCATACTTGGCAAGAATGAGGGTGTCTGTACATATATTTATGTTCACATAGTTCTTCATGTAGTTCCCTCTTGATCCTTCACATTTCTTCCCCACCTGATTCTCTTCCTGAATGGCTGAACTATTTTGAAAAGATGGGGACTTTTAGGGTGAGAACCTCTGCAGAGGAGAGGGCATGCCTAACAGTAATGTAGCCAATTTCTAGTCTGTGTGGACAAATTTTTGGTTTCATTATGAACAGTGAACTGAGAACACTACCATCAGATATTAATTGACCATTCAGACCTGAGAAAGAAGGTCTAGCAGTACATATTTTGGGTTGAGCTACTGTAAGGTTTGGTCATGGAAGATGTCCCAACTGATCCTTATGAGAAGGACCCCCCCAAAAAATTTTTATTTTTTAAAATTTTTACTTTTATTGGTGAACACAAATTTAGTGAAAAGTGAGTTCTATATAGTGACAGCTATGAAAATAATGTAGATATAACAAACATTCATAATTCTACTTTACAGGCCTCCCATTTGGTTTTCCTCTGTCACAAACCTCCAGGCAACCTTGTTGATCTGATGATGAACTTCTATAAGAATCACAATTTATACTTACTACCTACTCACTTAATACTTCACCACTTTTTTTAAACATTTTATTAGAGGAGTTAATCAGTGCAATGAAGCAAGAATAGGAAATAGGCATAAGGATTAGAAAGGAAAACATGGACATTGTGAGTGTTGCAATTGTGTATAAAAAAGCAAAAATGTACTGATTATTAGAAGTAAAGAAGTTTAGTTGTTTTATAGAGTTTTAATATTGAAAAATAAGCTGATTCTACATACCACCAGCAGAGTGAAAATTTTAAAAATACCATTTAATTGGCATCAAAAGTATGAAACACCTGAAATCATGTAGTGTAGGACCACTATATAGAAGATTATAAAACATTACTGAATTAGGCTTAAAGATGGATTCATTAAATTTTTTGGCTGAAGAACAATATTAAAGATGCCTATTTTGGGGATGCCTGCATGGCTCAGTGATTGAGCATCTGCCTTTAGCTCAGGGCATGATCCCATGTCCTGGGATCAAGTCCCACATTGGGCTCCCCACAGGGAGCCTGCTTCTCCCTCTGCCTATGTCTCTGCCTCTCTATGTCTTATATAAAATCTTAATTTAAAAAAGGATACCTATTTTCCATTAAAGTGATTTATATATAGTTGGGTATATGAGGAAAGAAATTGAAATCCAAAGGAATAAGCCCACTCATAAATATAGAGTTAGTTTATTTTATTATTAAGAAACAAGGGGATCCCTGGCTGGCTCGGCTGTTTGGCCCCTGCCTTCTGCCCGGGTCGTGATCCTGGAGTCCCGGGATCAAGTCCCGCATCAGACTCCTTGCATGGAGCCTACTTCTCCCTCTGCCTGTGTCTCTGCCTCTCTCTCTGTCTCTCATGAATAAATAAAATATTTAAAAAAGAAAAGGAACAACAAAATACCACATAGCATGCAGATAACCAGCAACTGGCTATAAATTTCTGTGAGGATTTTTAGTTCTAGTATATGGAATTGGAATTAAAGCTACAGTTGTTATGAATCATCCTACTGTTAGTAAATGGCAGAAACTATTTTTATCAGTAGTTAACTGAGCTTGCTCTGATGTTCTGTTACACTTAATTCTGTATCAGGCTTATTATGATAGTCTGTTCTTCATTATTTTCACAGTACCTCTTCCTGTGGTTGCCATGGCACTGGATATAGCACATACGATGATTCATATCCTTTAGCATTCTTCAATAAAGATCAATTTCCCACATTATTCAATGCATTTCATGTCAAAACCCCATAAGCTTTCTTTTTTTGGAAATTTTAAAATTTAGTTATAAAATTACATATGGAGATGCTAAAAGGCAAAAATAGCCAAGATACTTTTGAAGAGCAAATTTGGATAATTTACCAGACTAAGACTTCCCATAAACTAATGGTAAAGACAATGTGGCATTGCATTTGGTAGTCAAATAGACCAATGATAAGAGAATCCAGAAACAATTACCTGTAGATTATCGAGTTAGGACAAAGGTAGCAATGTAGGTTGTAGGAGAAAAGTGGTACTTCAATAAATGTCTCTGGCTCAGTTGTCCACAGGTAAAACAAAAAATGAAAACTTCAATTACTGCATACTGTTCACAGTTCCACCTAAATCTGTAATAGAAGAAAATGTGTTGCATAAGTACAGATCAGGCAAGAAGAAAGCCTGGAAATACCTAAGCATCCAACTCAATAGATTAGAATAAAAACATTGTGAACCTAAAACCAAGAAAGTAAAAACAGAAGTGATAAAAAAGAAGATGAAAAATAGAGGAGAAAAAACAATAGGAACAACAGAACAACATTTTTTATGAAAAAGATCATTTATCCCATGGCAATACAAAGAAAAAGAAGGCATAAATATCCATAATAAGCAGTGAAAGGAAACAGCATCATTTCAGAATCTACAGATAATTTAAAAATCTTAAAAATATTTCAGTACAACTAAATAAGTAAAAAATAATGCCAATTCCACAATATCTATTCCAGTAAAGAGAAGATCAAGGATCTTTGATATATTTTATGAGGCTAACATGACTATGATGCTAAAGTGAGACAGAGACATAAGAAAAAAAATAATTGGTGATCAATATTTCTCCTGAACATAGACCATAGCCATCCTTAACAGAATATTTGCAAATCAAATTTAGCAATATTTTAAAAGGAAAGTCCATCCTGGCCACGTAGAGTTTAAGAATGCAAGGTTGGTCCAATATATGAAATCAATTGGCGTACTTCATCATATCCATAGCCTGAAAAAAAAATAATAACCATATAATCATTTCAATAGATGCAGGAAAATCATTTGACAGAAATTCCACATCTATTTAGAATAAAAACTCAGCAAGCTAGAAATAAAAGCCAGCTTCCTCATATTGTTACAAGGCATCTGTAAAAAAAAAAAAAAAAAAATCTGGTCATATTTAATGATGAGACTAAATGCTTGACCCCAAGCATTTTTTTTTTTTTTTGGCAAAAAGTCTAAGATGTATGCTTTGTTCTTCCTTTTTTTTTTTTTTCTTTTTGCTTTGTTCTTCCTAATGAACATTGTGCTGGTGACCTTAGCCACTGCCGTAGGGAAAACAAAAAGGGAAGGTTGTGTGTGGAGTGGGAGGAGGCAGGGATGGGAAGTGCATACATTTGGGAAAAGAAGAAATAAAATTGTCTCTATTTGCAGACAACATGGTCTTCTACATAGAAGATCTCAAAAACTATAAAAAACCTAATAGACTTAATAAATGGCCTTTCCTGGGAATTTAAGAAATAAGCAAAGGAGGAAAAAAAAGGCAAACAAAGAAACAGACTCCTAACTGTTAGGAAACAAACTGATGATTACCAAAGGGGAGGAGGGAGAATGGGTTAAATAGGTGGTAGAGATTAAGGAGGGCACTTGTGAGAGCACTGAGTAATGTATGGAAGTGTTTAATCACTATATTGTAAACCCAAAACTAATATTACATTGTATGTTAACCAACTGGAATTAATAAAAACTTTTTAAAAAGTGGCTCTTGCAAGAGATATAAATAAATGGAGAGATACACTGTGTTTATGGATGGAAAGATTAGGTGTTAAGATATTAATTCCCCTCAAATTGTTATGTATATTATCTAATCACCCACAAAAAATTTCCACCAGGCTTTTTGTAGAAACTGACAAGCTGATTCAAAAATTTATATGGAAATGCAAACAGGATAGTTATCCAATAAGGAAGTGTAGTCATGTATAGTCTATGAAAACTCAAATTCTCTTCTTATTACTCATAAAATTCTCTTTTTAAGTCTTTGCAGATGAATCATTGGCATACTTCCCCACCTTGATTCATAAGTTCATATTTGAGAGGTCATTTTTGTTTTCTCATTACCAGCTCTATATCATGTTGACCCACAAGGCATAGCCAATGTCAACATCATTTCTATTTGTGTAGTTATAACTAAGAATTTCATCTTCCATTTGTGCCATTGAAAGACTTGATGTTTAAGTCCTTATCTGCAGTAGCCCCAGAAGAACCCATACAATCATCTTAATGAACCTTAATGAAGTTCATTAAGATGATTGAGGTCCATTATATTGTGATTGGGGATTCTACATTCTAATGGCTCATGCTTTAAATGGTTTAGGGAGGTTTTGATACATTCCTGCCACAGGGAAATAATGTATTTCTGAGTTGAGACTGAAAGATCACAGAATTCTCCAGGAATTTATTCAGTTACTGTCCAGCACTTACTCGTGCAAATCTGGATTTGTGAGAGATCGCAGGTAATCCTCAAGATGATGATCTGGAATCTTCTCCAATTTCCTGTACTTCTCTCACACCACCAGCGATTTCATAATTTTGTTGGTAATAGACTGCACGCCTGTCATGACTTACCTCTTCACTGCATTGATGCATGCCATGTCACCACACCCTTTTGGAATCTTTTCACCAGACT